TGTGGGGGTGTCGTATCATCATCATCATGTGATAAATTCATGTAGTCCTATTGTCCTCACCTTGCATGAGATGGAAAAGGACTTTGGGTAAAAGCCACTCCAAAAACATCCTTTCCATCAACTGCAGTGATAAAGGTTCACCGTGCGGGCGGAGGGAAATTTCCCTCCGACTTTTGTCCAAGCTCCGACTCATCCATCACACTCCGACAATAGAGATGTCGTCCACTCCCTAGACAGCTGCTTCCCCCCTAGAAGTGTGAGTGTGTGTGTTTGTGGGTATCTGTATTAGTGCAAACATGCATGACGTTGTATGTGTGACAGAATTACAAAAAAAACAACAAGATTGAAGGGAAACTCGCTCTGTGTTTGAACAGTTTAGCGTCCAAACACCTGTTTGACAGCAGTATTGTCTGGTGTTGAATGGCTTTCATTCAGACACTTTAACAGATTGATTATTCCTTTGTTGACAGTGACATGTTCTCTCCTTCGTAATAAATCAAGGCAACTTTATTAATTAGGAGAGAATATTAAATCATTGACTGCACAGGGATGAATGATAATAAGCAAAAGTAAATTGAACAACCAAAACTAGATGGCTGGAATCTTATATAAAAGTCAACTTTATTGAAAGTATTCATGGTGACCCGGGCGGCCTGTGTGCATCCTTGTGTGTGCGTCCAGCTCATGCCATGCTGGCACCACCATCTGCCATGCGTCCAGGTCCTGTCCAACCCAGCAAGACTCCTCACACATACACACACACAACTCCCTGTGTCCAGCCAGGTGGCATCCCTCCAAAAGACCAATGGGTCTGCGACCTGCAGTGCACTATGGTCTACAAACAGAAAGTCTGTCTTTGGCCTTCTGCTTCTGCCTCTTTTTTGAAGTGCACATAAACCTTCATCCGTAGAAAGGCTGTCTGTCTGTCTGTCCACCCGTCTGTTTCTCCCTATGCAATTTGGCCCTTTTCTATGCTTTGGATTAAGAACATACAACGTCTTCCTCACAACATGTTTATGTGTTTCAGAGGACAAATCGGAAAAAAAAAAAAAACTCCTAAGAGGGGTGTCAGATGGCAGCCGTTTGTGTTGGGATGGGGGATGGAGGGATGATGGGGCGGATGAAGGGAAGAGATAGAAGGAAACAGGAGGAGGAGGGGGATTGCTCCGTTCTCTCCTCTTCAGCTTTTGTTCTCGGAGATAATAACTCTCCACCCCCTGACTCCAAAAAACCAAAGGGAAGCCCCTCCAGTCTGGAAGTATGGAGAAACATCCCAGCCTATACTGTGGATGTGAGGAGCTATGCAATTTGGAAGATTCACTGTAAATGTAACAGTTAGTTCTAGAAGTGTGTCAAATTGTGAATGCACCAGTCAATTATAGATGCCCTTAGCTGTCCCAGAAAACACACCCTGCTTTTAATTTGGGCCAAAACTGAAATGGGGGAAAATATAGAGCCATGTCACTGCCAACAGCCTGCAGGCCGTGTGAGTGTCTTGGTGTAATCTGCCAGAACCAATGAAGAAAAGTGCCAGCTGAGAAGAAAGGAGAGGAGGAGAGAGGTCATGCGAAGCAGGTGGAAACAAGTTAACCACAATTTCTGCTCTAATTTAGTTTTTAGCAATACCACTTATTATGGAACTGCAAACTGTTATGGGGTAAGTGTTGGTTCGTCAAATGCATTGGATGTATCACTGAAAACACAGTTCTAGTTGCTGTGACCTGGTTGAGTAGAACAGCATCTGCATCCCACACAAAATCTAAAAATACTCCTCCACCATTGACTGCTACTATGCCGTGGCCTCAGTAGGTAGATGAAGAAGTGTGTGTGTGTGTGTGTGTGTGTGTGTGTGTTGGCTACCCTCTTAATATAGAGGCACAAATGACTGTTAAATCTAGTAAATTAATGGTATATTATGTCATAATGAACCTTTGCATTTCTCATACTATAGCACTGTTATCATTAATGAAGATAATTAAATTGCTTTCTCAAGAGAAATTGTTTAACACTGACCTGATAAGTTCATTATCCCAAGGTAAGATAATTGCATCCTGACTGAGTTTTACAGTGTGGAGTTGTTGCTATTACCTCCATTATTTTTTGTACAGTAGAAGGGGTAAAGAGCACTATCCTTCCTTAGGTCTTTACATAGAGTAGGTCTTTAGGAAATGAACACCTACTGTATGTACTGTATGCTAACTATTTGTGCCATTGCGTCACTTACTTGGATATAAAATCATGTTAATTTGCAGCTTTAATGCTTGAGAGCTGATATTTTGCCTAAGGTGTTACAGCGAGTAATACGATTATGACATAAATACAAGAAATAATGTGTTGATTGTTGAAGCAGTGCCGGTGTAATGAGATTAAGATTTTGAACATTTGTGTTTTGTATGTTTGTGGGTGTGGATTTGGGAATGTGAATTTGTCAGTTGCCATTCAGAAAAAGGCCAGTCCAGCTTTCATGCAAATGAAAGACTTGTGACAGATGTAACCATAATGGTTAATGATACAGCAGAAAACTGCTCTCATCTACGGTTCAGTCGTTGCTAAAATTATGGTGTAGAGTAGCAACAGGACCTAACCCTTAACCAAAGTATCTACAGAGCCAGATATGATTTGTTCTAACTTCTTCATCTCTTTTTGTTACTTTCCTGTTAAAGTTTTACTTATTCAGAAAGTCTCATTGAAAATAAGAATTTCTCCTTAACATGAGCAGAAAATGGGATGTTAATCCAGCACCGAACTATGAAATCATAATGCATTCTACAACTCGCAGAGTTTATTGGGGCATGAAGTATTTCCGGGCATAATCAGACGTTATTTCCAATAATGTGTTTTAAAGCAGTGGGATCTAAACTTAATTGAAAAAAAAAAAAAAAGCATTTTATGAAGCCCAGCTCTTATTGATTAAGGCCGAAAAAGAAGTACTTGTATTTAAAAGTCACGTTTCATTGAGTTAACATCACACAAGCTTTAGTTCAAGAGTTATGCTTAAGTGCTTTGCTTTGAGCGTTCAGACGAAGAATAAATATTTGGCATAAGCCTAAATGTGTCACTCAGTTTACTCATCTTTAAATAGAGTTCACCAGTAATCTCCTTGGTATGTAATTTTGCTTCAAAAAGGGTTTAATATTTATGGAATTAGGATCAGGTCACTAGTAAGTAAATATGTCCCTTACTAGAAATGTATAAAGTGTCAGTAGGCTATATACCCAATTTATCTATAGACTTTGAAGAGTGCAATTTCTCCAAAGTTATAATTAGTGGACTCTGTTTCTTTCACGCACACACACACGCGCACACGCACACACAGTGTGAGAAGGGAAGGGAGGGTTTAATACTAAGGATAGGCTATGAATCCTGCACCAATCTGTTTCTTTCTCCCTCCCTGCATGTTGTGCTGTTCACCGTACAGGTGCGAGCGAACAGCGGCTCCAGCATCTCCGCCAATTAGAAGCACCGAGCGTGACCACGTGAACAAATCCCGTTGTCTAAACTCCCGTTGAGCGGGGAGCAGCTCGGACTGAGCGGCGGAGCTGAAAGCCACCGTGAGAGGGGGAGTTATAACGGCGGGCTGAACGGGAGCAGTGAGCAGGTAAATTGCTTTCCATCTTGGCTATACACTTGTCCTGCCTCCATGTCCCCTCAGCAGCTCTGCGGGGGGCGGGGGGCAGTATGCGGGTCAAATGCGGGGCTCGGGGACCGGATGTTTTGGAATAAATTGGTCGTCGCGTGCGGGTTGATTCTGTGCTCTCCTCCGATCCTGTGACAGGACAAACAGCAGCATCGCCTGGTTGCTCTGCACCGTCTGCTCCTCCCTCCCACCTCCTCTCCTCCCGTTCTCTCCCTCACTTGCCTCTAGCGTGCACATGAGGCTATTGATAGTTGACAGAAGCCTTGTAATCCCTGACTGATCCGGCTGACCGGCCACAGCCATTTGCGAAACAAGAATGTTGATGGAACTTTATTTTGCTTCCGAGATTTGTTTTAATCGGCGACGAGCGCAAAGATTGACGTGCAGGGGAAGTGAGAGAGTCTTCTTCAAGTGCTGCATGCAACCAGGCGAGCAGAGGCAAGCTTTTATAGCTGAATTATTTATAAGGCTGTCTGGGAGAGAGTAATGCTTCTACAGGATGGGGAGAATGACGAGATTCATAGTCAACATATAGACTTCTAGTCTTTTTCTTATAGTGGTTTCCCCCCCACAATCGAAACTAACCTCCAACTGACTTAGTTCCGCTTTTGCTACAATGAAAGACTTTGGAGGTTTCCCCCCCTCGTAAATAGGTCAAATTATGCATCGATATTAGTCAGAACTCAAAACCAACAGGCTGTATAATTTGTCTGACGTAATTTTCCTTTATTAAGCAGTCTATTTTCAATTTTTTTTTTTTTTTTGAGAAACAGATTGGGGAAAACGTGCCCTGATTTCATCTTGTCAAAGTTGTCAATTCGTCGATTTTCCTAAAATATGAATACTTTTTTTTTTTTAAACAACTTTTAACAGTCAGTGGGACAAAATCAGCTAGGATTAGATAGGCCTACGTTTGGATGTATTAATGCCTCGATTAAACATTTATCATGTTATGAACGATGTGACATGTAGCCTAATTGTTGATAAAATAAGTAATGGTCTATAATAGTAAGTAGGCCTAATGTCTTCGTTGTTGTCCTTATTAATCAAATTAGATGCATTTGGCAAATAACAGACCAGCAATTTTATTTGTCTATGTCTTTCTGGCTCCTGCCTTAGTTTAAAACATTGGCAGTGTTTTTTTTTTTCTGATTTCACTTTGCCGTTTTTCTCAAATGTATCCTTAGAAAGATATCTTACATTAATAATAATAATAAAAAAATCATAAATGCAGCACGTTTGCCCTGCCATGTTTCTGCCTCTTTTTTTTTAGCCCTACTCCACCGGAATGAATCGACCGTCGTCAGCGCATGCGTACTCTCTCCGCCATTCATTTGTAGCACACCGCTCACTCCCCTGTTTCTCCTGTCTCGTGCGAGAGCAGAGAAACCAGCAGGCGGCTCAGGGCTCGCGCTTGCAGCCTCGGTTGGCACGAGCAGTCAGTGACTTCTCCTCGTTGCGGTCGGACGGTGACAGCTCACATCGGCTCTCTCGCTTGTCGGACTGAGCTCGGATTTTTTTTTTTTTTTTTTTTTTTGCCTCATTGGATTTCTATGTTTTAGTGGCAGTAGTAGACTCCAAAAGACTTATTACAAACACCGTAAGTTGGTTTATATTTTTGATATTTCAAGCTGTAATCTTGCCTGTATTTTTGAATGTTTCACATGAACGCTGGCATCCCGAGAGAGAAAATCCTATATACCCTGTAGCCTCTTAGGCTGTTTTATTGAAGTGTTTTTGCTCTTTCTTGACCAATAGGCTAGAGGTTTGAAGTTCATCTTTATCCCACTTTCTTCTAATTGTTTTGTTTCCTTATCCGGTGGCCCGTGTTTACTTTCGCTCTGTTCCTTTGAAAGACCGAAAAGCAACTTTAACGCAACACGCGGTGAAACGTTCACGTTCCTCGTGTTGCGAGGATAACGTTATAATGTTTCCAGTGGAGTGTTTGCGGAAGGTATTTTTGGTCGTGAAACAAAAATAGCTTAAGTGTATAATGAACAAAGCGGAGATGGCGGTCAAACTACTCATCTTTTATAGCAGGTGTCTGATATAGCCGACTTCCGCACTGTGCTGCGAGACACCTATCGTTGGAAAACACAATGAGCTCTTTTAAGCCTCAATTTGTGGTCCAATTCTTGTTCGGGTACACTCTTTCAGGTCCTGGTTGTTGAAGTGTGATTTAGTTTTTAGGAAAGCCAGTGTGTGTGGTTTCATGATTTATTTCATTTCCCTCTTTTAACCTTCGCGAGTTGCTGTTTTCGGGAACCACACGTAGGTAATGTAATTGTAAAAGCACCGTTTGACTTCACAGCGGTTTGTTTCCTCAGTCAAGTAACTTCTCTAATGTGTTTATTTATGTGAATTCTTTTTTTTTTTTTTTTTTGAGTGCGCGTGCATTTCGCGCGTGATCGACTGAATGACAGTGAAAGGAGGAAATGCTGAAGTGGCATCTGTTCTTGCTGAACCAGCTTGTTGGCATACCTCAACCTGTTAAGTAGAATAACACCCTTTTTTCTTTTTTTTTTCTTGCTCTCAACTTGTAAGATCACATCAGGCCAATCAGTTTGTCAGTGTAAGGTCTGCACACCTGCCTCATGCAGAACACTACAAATAGCCGATTTATACTTGTACAAAATTAATAGTTAATTAATAGTTTTGCAGACCTGGCAGCATTTCTTTTGCCATCTAAAAAAAAAAGTGTTGTTTCTGTATTGATCCTCCTAAACGAATTGAGCTGTATTATGTCTCTGCTGTGGTCCAGTGGTTCTCATTAGTCCGTGCAGGTTCCAGTGAGCTATTTTATCAGTTTTTGTGCCCAGTGATCTCCACTTGACTAATGGTCTGTTGCTGTTGGGTTATTTTTGTTTGCTCCACCCTGCTCCACCCTTTTTCATGTGCAAGAGGCGTCACATTCAGCCACACCTGCCTTGCTAAGACAGAAATGTGGGGTGTCTTTGTTTTAATGGCCAGCACTTTCTTTGATAGAGTTGATGTAGGCTATAGAGTGGAAACACAGACTTCTTGTTGCTGCTTGTAACAGCTGTATAATGCTCCTCTTGTGCTGCAATCAATGGACCTTTTTGAATGCTTCGAGAAGCGGAGGATATGATGTTAATAAATCCTTATTTTTGTAAGTGTGTTTAAGAAATTGAAAGTGATGCTGTTCTGCACTTGTGTGTGTTTTTATGAGTCTTTTCTGCAATGTACAAATATCCAGAGGCAGCCTGAAGGAGTGAGCAGAGGTCAGGTGGAGAGACTGTCTCTGTGTGTGTGTGTGTGTGTGGTTTGAGTGTGTAATCTGCCCCGGGCCCCCATGTGCACTTCCTCAGACTCTTTCGGGTGAGCATTGACTCAGCAGTGAACTCTCTATCAGCATCGAACAGATAAGAGGATGAGAAGGAGGGAGAGCAAGCTGCTATTACAGCATCCCGATGAACAATCTGTCTCTGTCGCTTTCAGTATTTCTTTCTCTAAGCAGGGGTTTCTCTTGGGGTTCTCTTCTACTTCTATTATTTCTTCAGAATTTATTCGATTGATTTTGCTTTTCTGATGCATTTTTTTTCTCTCTGCAGTTTGTCTCTGCTTTTTTCTTTCTGTTTTCTTCCATAATTTTTGTTTGTGATTGCGAGTCATTTTTCCTTCTCTTCTTACTTTTACAAATGTTGATGACATAGAAGTATGTGTTTACCCTGTTGCAGTACCTAGTTAAGTTGATTTGACATGATAAGAAAGTAAACATTGAATTTCAAATATCTAAAAACTACAAGTGTGACATGACAAATTTGGTAAAACGTGTATATATATATTTTTTTATTTGAGCCCAAATACACTGTTTAAAGGTTGCAACACATACACACAAACAGCACATGAATGGAATGACAAACACATCCACAAACAGACAGTGGAGTGACAGCTGCAAACCAGAAAATCACTGCATTGTTATGTTAATTTGTTTGAGTCTATTTTGCACTCAGTCAGGTATGTAAACACATTTCAGTTTGTTTTAAAACAAGTCCTGCCAGTTTTTTTTTTTTTTTTACAGAAGTCCAAATCAAATCACAAATTTGCCTCAAACAACCTGAACAGCAGCCGAACTAATCCTAATCCTTTTGTGATTGATTTTTTAAAAGGCCTCCAAAAATATGACCTATGACTCCTGAGGTTTGTCGTCTTCATTTTGTCTTTCTGTGCTATAGTAGCCCGCCTTAGCAATAAAAAAATCTGTGTGGGTCTGTTTTATGTACGCGTGTGGAGAAGCATCATGCTCCCTCGGCTTCTCCCCTCCTGGTTTGCTTTATGCTCTGTTCTTGGTTTAAACAGTTTAGAATCACAGTAACACACACTCGGTTACAGAGAAGGCTCAGTCATGTCATAGGTTGTCTCTGCAGGCTGTGTGTGTCTGTGCCTGTGTGTATTCTGGTGCCGCTGCCTGTCAGCGAAACAGGAGTCTGCCCACCACTTCTCACATTCTAGCGTACAGCAGCACATTTGGGGGCTCATCTGGCAAGGAAGTGTAGCAATAATCCAATTGGCTGGTGCTTTAGTAAAAGCTTTTCTAATTGGCCGATATGGCAGCTGGCTGCCAAGGTTCCAGTAAGCACAACAGGGAGTTGGGGAGAGTCCCAGTGGTGCTGTGGTGCAGGAGGAGGAAGAACAAAGGGCAGATAGCAAAGCGGGTGCCGCTGTTTTGAATATTTCCCTGCATGGCAATAATGAAGGACCCATCTGCACCCTAGATCCATCCAGCTGACTGTGTTTCATTTTGAATTGTGTTTTATCCAGGAACACACCCCAATACACATACATGAAAAAACACACTAAGACTCACTCCCCTCTGCAGAAACAGGGAACATGGCATGTTTAAGGGAAACATCTTCCAACTGTCAAAGGATCAAAGTGATTAAGGCAGGAATATTGACTGTGCACGCATGCATGCGTTTGTGTGTGTGTGTGTGGAAGAGGGTCTTTTCTAAATAAAAAAATGCTTCTACCAGCATCCACTGCAGCCTTTCCTGTTTCCTTTCACCTCTGTGTGGAATCCAGGAATAGCTCAGAGTGACAGAGACGAGAAATGAGAGAGGGAGAGAAACAAAGAGAGGCCGAGACAAGCGTGTGAGAGATGGCCATGTAAGGTCTCCTGCACCACAGCTTGCACCACCCCAAACAAACACTGAACCTGAGATGAACTGCACACGGTTCGGTTTTCTCAAGTCAACGGGAACTTTGACTATGTGCGCCGGCTTTACAATCAAACAAAGGCAGCCTTCATCATGAGGTCCGTTACGGATTTACAGAAATCATAGAGTTCCTGCATGAGGATTGGCTTGTTTGGTTTGTGTTCTTGTTTTATTAATACAATCGCAGTGTTACAGCTTAATGTACCATGTGTGATGAAATAATTCTCATAAGGCCTGTGATATTTAAAAAAAAATTCCAGCATAAAAATAGGCCATAGGATACATTTACAGTGTGACAGATTGAAACTGCACACAAGGCAATACAAAGGGATTTACAAATCTTAAACAAAAAAAACATTCAGATTTAAACAAAAATCTGAGTAAAAAGTGATTACTCTTTTATTGTGCAGTCGGAACAATGCAAACTGAATTATTATTGTTTTCAGTCCCTTTGACATCAAATATCCAAAAACGATATATTTTTGTATTTAAAGCAACGTGTAACTTTTCTGCTTTATAGTTTCAAATGTCAATTTAACAGTATAATAACTTTCAACAAGAATAATGGCGTCTCTCCCATGTCCACAGGGCGGCCGATCACCTGTTTACATCAGTATGTAACTTTGGCACCGGGGCCAAGGTCATCTTGCAAGAAGTGCGTTCGGCCTTTTACAACAAAAATAAATGCAACCTGTCAGTCGACGTGGTTGTTTTGCTTCTCACAACATCTTTGCTGGCTTCACACTGCTTGTAAACAAAAGCACGTTGTCTAAAGAGGGGTAGACGTAAGAGCACTGTGTGTTTTTACGCAGTTGCACTCAGAGATCTTCAGGGGCCGCCAAAGCGCACCAAAAAAAGACCTTTAAAATGATCGCTTTAAGAAAACAAATTACAATTTGCATTGAGCTCTAGTTTACAGCACCGATCATTCACATGAACAAAAGTGTAGTTTTTAATTATTTCATTGACATGTATCTTTCTTACACATGGGGTTTAACATTGCTTTCCTACCTGTTGAATAATCTGTTGATGGATTCTCATGTTTTAAAAATAAGTATAGCTTATGAATGGAATTTGATAACTTGAATTAGTTGTTGCACACACACACACACACATGAAAACCTCAACACAATTTTTCCAAATGATAAGAGAGAAAGTGCAATGAAGCACAGTTTGAACAAAAGTTGATATATCTGAGATTGAGTTCAATATTTTGTTACTAAGTCAGTCCAGTGAAAAAGAAATTACATTCAGGAGACTTTATCACCTTTTCTTAGCTGAAGGAAATTAATATTGAATATTGACATTTTTACCACCAAGGGAAATTCTCCAGATGGCATTGTAAATCACTTCATGTTGGTAAATGCTGATTCCTTGTTCTAAAACACGAGACAGAGCTCAATGTAAACGTGGACCTTACAAG